TTGTATCAATGCTAGTATCCTGGTTGTGATATTGCACCACAGTATTGGGAATTGTTACTACTGGGGGAAACTGGGTAAAGGGTGGGTGCCCAAGATCTCTGTGTATTATTATTATTATTTACAACTGCACGTGAATCTATGACAATCTCAAAACACTTAAATATATATTTTTGAATGTGTGAATGCTACTGGGCTATATATTTTTTTAAAAAAAAAAGAAAAAAAAAAAAAAAGAAGTACAATCCTCTTAGGAACGCAAAGGCCAAGGGGCACAAGGCCATTTCTTAAATTTTAAGAAATCACCTAGTTCACAAGTGCCACCTCCTCACTTTGCTGTCAGCGACGTGATGTGCTCTGCAGTGCCGGAATTGAGAGTTTGAGAGAGAGATACCGGTCCTGCCCTCTCGGTGTTCAGGTGTGTGTATAGGTGGGCGTTGGTGTGAGAATGAGACAGAGAAAGCGGGAGGGAGAGCGAGAGCTATGCCTCCCTTACTGTCAGGAAGGGTGGCCGGCTGATGAAGGTGCTGTGCAGAAAGCCGGGGAAGGGCTTAAAGAGGGTGCTAGCGCCTCGGGAACGCCCTCCCGTTGCACCCTACAGGAGGTCGTGGGCGGTGGCTGAACAGCCCTGGTGCAGTGCTTGAACTCCACCTTCCAGAAGGAAAGGTGAGTAGGGGACCCGGGCGGGAGGTGAGGCCTCCCGGCAGCGGCCCTCAGGCGTGTTGGGCAGTACGGCTAGCAGAGGCGGCGCCTGGTCTTGGATGCTGCAGCGGAGACGCCAAGGAGACTGAATGCAGGCAGCGAGGCGTAGCGGCCGCGGAGGGTGGGGCCGCCCGGAAATCCAGGCGGCGCCAGCCTTGTAGCATCTGCAGGCCGGGGGCGCGCACACGAGGGGCACGTGGGTGTGGAGGAACCCGCGCCGCAGGGCCTCCTTCCTGCAGCGCCGCGGCGGTCGAGTGCCGGCGCTAGAGGAACGGCTAGTGGGGTGCCTGCCCCGTGCAGGCGGTACCCGCAGCTCCGCACACAGCAGGCACAGCCAGGGACGGGTACCGTGGCCCAGCGCCTGGAGGAGCTCTCCACGCGCGTCTCTTTCCCGATGCCGGGGTGGGAAGCCAAGTGGCTTTGTCCGGAGATGCCAGGGGATGTGGGCAGGGGACGGAGACTTCCCAACTGGCCAAACCCTGGCATGGGGGAAAGACTGAGGTGGTCATTGACCCGTGGGAGCGCCCTGGGGCTTCGAGGGAACGGCGCCCGCAGCCGAGCCCGGGAGACTCGTGTTGGGCACCCGCGGTGGTCGGCAGGTTCCACGTGGGTGGACCCCGAGCTGAGGGCAGCGGTAGGGTCGCGGATCGCGGACGTGTGCGCACCCTACTCCCGCACAAGGACACCTGCACATGGACCCGGGCTTCCACCCGCTCCTGGCTGCGTTGGCGCCGGGAGCGCGCAGGGGAGGGACGGCGGCGGATTGCGGGGTTTGGCGGGTGAGGTGTGGCCGCGGGGGAGGGGGCGAAGGCACTAGAAGGCTGCGGCCGCGCTGTCGCTGCTGTTCCCACCGTCGGCGCGGGGCGCGGAGGGGGCGGAGATGGGTCTGCCAGTGGCACTGCGGTCCCTTCCCGGCGTTAACCTGCCCTAGGGGTGAAAGGAAAAGGGTTCATGTAAAGGAGAAAGGGCAGGCAGAGACTCTTGCTGGTTCCAGCAGGCGCGGAGGGATGTGGCCGCGGGGACCTGGAGTTTGCAGGGCAACGCTGGGTGTCATAATGCCGGAGCTGACCCCGGGCGCAGCGGCGCTTCCACTTGGGTAGAGCTGTAGAGAACGTGGCCCGAGAAGGGGAGCTTCCTTAAATTGGACATATCGTGTGTTGCCCTAAACCTAGCATTTACCCCCTCCCACCCCGCTCCCCCAACCTCCAGGGTCCTAGCGGAGTCATTTAAGCGCGCAGTACCACCAGCTTCATTTTAGGTAAAAAGACCAATTCTGCACTTTATTAACCTCCTCGTCCCCAAGTCACCACGGGGCAGCTTTTCACAGCCCTAAGGCGTGGTCACTCCAAGCCCACAGCGAGTTGCTTGTGTCCTCGGCTTCTACTCCGCAAATCTCGGACGATGCCACGGGAGGACGCTGAAGGCAAAGGCTGGTGGGGCCAGGCGCCGGCGAGACTGCCGCGCTAGCACAGCTTCCGCGGGAGCCGAATGCGGACGGGCCTCGCGACCCCCTCCCGAGGGCAAACGGCTCGGCCCTGCGGGGACACTTGGTCAGTGTCACTCTCTCCCTACCGGGTGTCGCGCATTTTCTCCACAGAACGTGACCCCGTAGACGGACGAACTCGGAATCGGGAAACCCCGCCTGCCCTTGTCTAGTTTCTCTGCCCGCCACACCTCTGCCCTTCACTGCGGACTGCGCCGTGTAGGCTCCGGGACCGCCCCTGCACCTTCGCCCACAGCTCCCCATTCCCAAGGCAGCCGGAGGAGGATCGGTTTCCGAGTTACCTGTCTCACGTCAGCAGCCACACCGAGGCGGTCCCCCTCGCACCGCTCCCCAAGGGTAGAGCCCCTGAAAGTCCAAGGCTCCTGTGCCACGCACCCTCCCCCTTGCGGGGCGACCCCGCTTGTGCGTGTGTGTGTCACGCGTTTAATCGCACAGAGTAACTCCCAGACGTGCAAGACAAAGCATTTCAAGCAAAGATGGTCCAGAGTTCAAGTTGGAAAGCACATCTCGAGGCGCTGAATCTGTTCTCGCCGTCTGCCTCGGTCTCTGGGGCGTCGCATCCAGGAGAAGGGTTTTTAACTCTGAATCCCTGCCAGATCCGCTCGGAATTAGCTCTTCTGGCGGTGCAGCAACAAGTGGCCCCGCCGCCTCCCTTGTGCACCCGGAGGGACTACACCCTCTTCCTCTCCCAGCCCCTAGTCCTAACAGGAGTAGGTAATGGCGGGGAAAGGGGGAGGGGACGAGAGAGGGGAGAAGGAAGTACATATTTTTCAATTGTGAAATTGTCTGCGTGCTGTGCCCAGGGATTCTCTTGTCTCAATCGACTTCAATTTTAACGTGGCCGTAACGTTAAGATTAAGACCTAGAAATGAAAACGTACCCACCTTCCTTATTACAAAGGTCGTTTGTTGTTTGTTTTTTAAGAACACCAAGTATCCCCCCTACGGACTTACACTTCGTTTATGAGATTTCTCCAACCTTGGTGGTTTGGAGAAATGAGGTGGGGGAGGGGAGGACCAAGGGCAGCAAGACGTCCACCAGGAAAATAAGATACTTACTAATTTAATAGGGCCGTTCCTTTTTACATAAGATGCTCCCCCACCCCCCAACAATTTACAACAGGTAAACTTTGAGCTTCCTCAAAGTTTATCTAGCGTTTATTCCTGTAGCTTTACGAATAAACTCCCTTTCCAGGTAAACCTGCTCATCCCTTGTCCTATGCCCAGCGAAGCCCAGGTACGATGGGTCAGGGACCCCCGGTTTCCACATTGTCTGAGTCACGTTCCAGTTGGAAAGGCCATCTTGGGCGAGGGACGTGTTGCCCGACTGGTCTAAATAAGGAAATAAAGTGGAGTACCAAAGAATCAAGGGCCTCTGTTTCTCCCCATCCCGTCACCACCACCACCGGTCCCCGGGCTCTGCTGAGCGCTGCGGCTGTCTTGGCTGGAAACTGCGTCCCCGCCCAAATCGAGCGCAAAACTCCCTTGGACAGAAGTTTGAAAGAATCCAGCGTAGAAACAGACTTATCCGTCCAATTTGGTTTTAATCAGTAATCATATAAGTAATCATATACCCACATAACCACCTAAGTGGAGAGCAGACGCCCAGATTCATGATCCCCACGTGTTGCTGGAGTTGGCGCAGACGCGTGTGCGGGCATAGCGGCGGACGTGACACCGCATTTTCTCCGAATTCCTGCCATCTAGGGTGGTGTCGCCCCAAGAGGGGGCCGTGGGGAGGTGGGGAAATAGGCTGCGGAATCCACTTGCTCTGGGGGAGCACTTAAGGTTCAGAGCAGAGCGCAACTCCGGGGTGCTCTTGCACAGCCCCATTCTCCCACACCAGAAAAGCAATGCTCGTTATGGATGATTAATAGCCAGGCTTCTCCTGACCATGCGGCGCGTTCCTGCCGGCACCACTTAGTTGTTTTAATTTGACCTTTATTAGCCACGTGCTCCCAGAGGCTGCGAATTGGATTCGCACCACGATAACCGCCCTCTCCCCTTCCACCCGGTCGACTTCCTGAGGAGGATCGGAGACTGCAGCTTCCGCGACGCCTCCTCCTTCTACGTAAGGAGCAGGCCTGAGTTCCTCCACGTAATGACCTGGGAGCCCTCAGGCATCCCGGGGCCTGGTCGGAGTGTCTTTGGGCCCTGGAGCTGGGCGGTGTCTGCAGTGCACCGCCGTGAGTTTCTCTCGGGTACAATGTGCTGGTGTGCAGAGAGGAGGAAAGAAAAAAAAAAAAAAACACTACTCTTAAGTGGCACTGGCATCTATGAAGTGGCGGTGGTCTACACTGAGCGTGCCCTTGCCTGGAGGTGTAGGGGGCGGTTACTGCAGCCGAGGGGAGGGTACTGCGGCCAAGGGCAGGGCGGGAGGACAGTCAAGGCCGGCTGGCCGCGTGGGAGCCTTTTCTCTCCGGGTTCAGCGGCCGGCATCACCAGCACTGCGGCTAAAGGGGCTGGTAGGCTCTCCTGCACCCCGCGTGCTCCTCCGCCTTCTCTGTGTCCCCCGGCTTTTCCAGGAGGAAGATGGGGTGCCCATCGTGAATGGGGCGCGCTGGGCCGCCTGGCCGGGCGGTCACGTGTCCCCCCTCCCCCGCCACTGCGGCGGGAGTTCCAATCAGAGCTCGCCAGGGGGCTCCTCCCGGGCAGGAACCACCCGGCTCGGCGGCGGAGGGTGGGCCGCCGTCACCTGACCGCCCGCCCCCGCCCCCCGCGAGTAAGGGGCGGTGGTAGCGTCTGCTCGGTTACAAATGGCCCCTCCCGCCCGGCTCGCCCGCTCGCTCGGGCTCGGCGCGGACCCGCCTGGGCGTGCTCCTCCCGCCGGCTCCAGGCGTCCCACCGCCCTGCCCGGCGCCAGCCCGCGGTCCCAGCCACTCCTGAGGGTGCGCCGGGCACCCAGCGCGTAGGCTCACCCTTGGTGGTCGCTGCGGAAGTCTGGACCGCCGAGGCGTGTGGCTTGTCTACCGGCAGGTGAGCGTGCACCGCGGGCGTGGGATGCTGTGGGTACAGTGCGGGGGACGTGTGGGGTCCTCGGATGCGAACGCGAATCCGTGCTATGCCCAGGTCAAGTTTGCGGAGAGAGTCCGAGGTGTCTGTCTCCTCGGCCTCCTCTTGATGCTCCCGCGGGTTGGGGGCTCGGACCAAAGCTTCGATTTGGGGGAAGGGCTTCAGGATGTTCTTGCCTTGAGATACTTGACAAAGGTTGAAAAGACACATCAGGTGGGAGCTGGTAGCTGCTGCTGACGGGGTGAGACAGGTGCAGTCGAGTGTGCATGCATATGTGTGGCTCCTGGTTAAGGGTCAGCTCGAGATGGGGAGAAGCCACTGCGACGGGTCATTCTGTCCTCAAGAGCCACTTAGATGCTGGAGAGTGAAATTGAGTGGCTCTGAGGTGGTCACTAGATGTTATGGCAGCAAACCAGTGACCCCCAGTATTTCTGATATGACCCTGTAGTAACAGGAGTGCAGATGGTTCAGTACAGAGTGTGAGGTTTTAAGGCACCCAGAAAAGATTCCTTTTACCTTCTAACTTCTTGGCAGAAATTAGTATTAAAAGTGCTGAATCATGCAAAAAGATGAGGAAAATAATTTACTTCATGTTTTGGTAAAGTTTTCCAAAGCTAATAATATCTGCATTTTTGGATCAATGCTTTGAATTTAAGATGTAGGCACTAGGTATTTCAAATCATATTTTAAGACTGTGCCCTTGGCTTTATGACTATCGGTTGCTTTTTTTCCCTTTATGATGAGTTGTATCCATTCATTACTTCTTACCACTTTCACTACCCTCAAAACAAACAAAACCCCAGAAAACAAGACATGGGATTTTTATTTTAATTTTATTTATTTTTGGTGTGTTCATGATTGTAAAGGGAGTGGAGGTATCAGTCCTAGGAAATAAAAAATTCGTCCTCTGATGAATGCAGTGATGGGCAATTTGATCAATTTGATTTGTCATATGCCACTGAAGGGAATGTCAAGCTGATAACATGCAGACTGGAGAGAAAATGAAACAGGAGTTTCCCATTGAGGAAGACATAAGCCCTTATCCAGTTGCACTCAGTGAAGGAGCTGGAGGGTAGTCCTTCCACATTGGAACCTGAGTCCTTGTTGGTGGAGGTGCAGTTTTTGATGCAAGTTCTGGGGTCAGACACCATGTAACATAAAGATGAATTTTTAAAAAAATCAGAGTCAGGATTAGTAAAATGGGTGTGTCCAGCGACAGCCTTTGCCCATTTACTCTGGGCTGCACTGTCTGAAATGCTCAGTGGCCTGCTGACTCATACGGAGAACAAGCATGGCTTAGCAAGATTGGATTTTACTTGTAGACTCTAAAGAACTGTACTTGTTAAAAAAAAAAAAAAAGATTTTTGAAAAACATCATCGGAGACATCCATAATAGAGAAGCTAGTCTTTCTCACATCTCTTCTTCCAGGAGGTTTCTCCCTGATTCCTTGACTTGTCACCTTTATTTCAATACCTGTCATCCATGCTTGTGCACAGTACATTTGGTTTGACACAAAGGTTTTAATCTGAATCTTAACATGAGAAACAGTGGTACTCTTAGCAACATGATTATTTCAAAGGTATTTTTGAAGGATACTGAAAAACTGGAATATGAACGATTAATTGAGTTTTCTTTACAGCACAGACTCCCTTAACATTGCATGCAAGACCAGGGAGCCCCACCCTGTTTCTGAGCATCTGCATGAAAGACCAGGAAAGGAATTCGACAATTGCAGTGGTGCAGGGAGAGGCAGCTTCTAGGCTTGGGCATTACCTTTATTTAAATAATTACTAACAATTTTGGAGGGTAGGCGTTAATCCATAGGCAGGTCTTGAAAAGCACAGTGTTACTTCTTTTCACCTGTCAGCTTGTTAAAATGTCCATTTAACTTTGATAGGTTGATTTTGATAGAAAAGGGATACCGATCGAGAGCTTCCAAATTTTAAGATCCTAGGGCTAAAAGGCATGATTGATTGGAAGGACACATATTAAAGCATACAGTGAAGCCAAAAAGTTATTTTTGTTTTGATATTCTTAATAAATTTTTTTTATAAAACTAAGTTTTTTAGAAAGAGGGGGCTCCTTTTTAGGCAATGCATGGAATAAATCAGCTTGTGTGACAGACCAGCACCTGGCATCTCAGTTTGAACAGAGATGCATAATTGGAGCAAGAAACAGATGAATGAGCTTACCTTTTACTGCTCGGTCCTTCAAACAGAACCCAGTCATTTCACATCAGATTAGAGGAAGGCCATTTCTACAACAAGACAAGGAGATTTCAAATCTTGTTTCAAATCTATGGGAAAGAAAATGTTTTGAGCTGCTCTGAAGAAAGGCATTATAAATTTACAGTTCATTATTATAGTTATGCTTATCCGCATCGTCTACTGCAGATAGCGGGTCTGACCAAGAAGAAAAGAGATAAAAGACTTTTTTTCTTTCCTTTTTTTAAGTCAAAATTTTCAAAAGGATCCCTACTTGGTTACCTTCCATTTTTTAAGGTAAATATATCATTTACAGAAGAGAAAATGATACCTTTTGCCTTGATGGCTAGAGTGAATTAATGCATTTTCAGACCTGAATGTTGTGACCAGTTAGCAGTATCTCAAGAGTTCCTCCAGTATAACGTGATACTCTAGGTGAAAATCGCAGTTTCTGTTCTGAACTCATAATCTTAAGCTGCCGAAACTACCTTCTGCTTTTTTCCTGTTTTTTTTTTTTTTTTCTTGTATTATCTTTCCCCTCTTTTAAATCCACAAACTACACCTACAAATCCTAGCACCTAGAAGGCTTTGAGAGTCATCAGGAACACACAATCAGGTAAATTGCCTGTGATTGCGGGTCATTCTAAAATCAAAATAGATTTCAGCAGCGGCTTCAATCTATTGAATCTATTGGTAGGACGTCTCTGGTGCTTTGCTCAGATGCCAGCGCCCTAGCAGCCTGCTTTCAAAGAGGGTCTTTTCCTAAGATATGCAGTGATTATTTTGTGGAAATTAGCTCTACCCACTTGCACAGTTAATTGCAGTGTGAGAAGGTTCCAGAACAGTACCTCCTTGAGTTCGACAGTAAATGTGCACACATCATTGTATGACGAGCATTCCAGAACACCCACCTCCCAGCGAAGTAAATGTGCTGGCTAAATAAACACCTGGGCTGCTTTAGCCCACAAATGCCAACAAGTCTCATGTTTTACCACAAATGTACACTGAGCCTTTTTAGGACACTGCAGAGCCTTGTAGCATGGAAAGGGGCATCTGATGTCTGATTTCTTTTAGAGTTGGCCTCCAAGAATCTCTTTTTCCATTTGAGGATGTCAGGTTATGAGTGTTTTGCGAGGAATTTGAAGAAAATTGTTTCTCATCCACTTATTACAAGGAATTGTAGAGTTAGTAATATCTTTGGCTTTAAGGATTTAAAAATTAATGATATTTTTGGGTGTGTGAGTGTTGGATTGAGGCAATAGAGAGTATCCTTTAGAAAACCATTTGGAAATTGCTTCTCCTTTAAAATTATGTGACATTAAACACTTGTACATACATCTCTGCAAAATTCAAGAAATGTGCTTTGGTGTGCACATTGTGCCACATACACATGCATCCTACACAAACTGGAATTGCTATTTAGGACTGTTTAACTCTTCATTTTGAGGAGACTTAATTTGGGTAGTGGTGAGGGTTTTTATTTGTTTCTTCCCTAGTAGAAGTGGGCTCTGAATCTGTTGTGCTTAGGTATCTTAGTAGGTAGCACCATCAAGAAAAGACAGTGAATGAATAGTTCTTATACGTAAAGTACTTTTTTTTTTTTTTTTTTTTTTTTTTTGCAGTGTGTCATCATTTAGGTTGCTAATTTAAAAGTATTTCAGCTCTGGATTTTAGAACTAAAAATATCATGAGAAATAGTTTTCGTTCAGATGTAGCTCAAGATGCATCTCTCCGTTGTTCAAATTACTATGCATCCTCTTTGCTTCTCATGGAATTTGGAAACTATCCCAACTGCTAATAATCTAAACATTTTGGTCTTACAGGTGTTCTTTTGATCACAATGGATAGTGACTCTTCTCTTCTGCCTGAGAGTGGTTCAAAATGTAAGTTCAGTAAACTAAATAATTAAATATTAATAATTCTGAACATCTATGCAGAGCAGTTCTTCCCATTTTTCATTCCTTCTGCCTAAGGACTCTAGCTTCATAAATAAGAATCCAGAAGGAAGTGCTATACCCTTGAGTAGGGAGTGGGGAGAGCCTAACCTAGATGAACATCTATTCACTACCCAGCAGTGTAACTTTATATGACTGCAATCACAGCCATTGATTCCTGTGCACCCCCACTGCCCCCATGTTATTTTCATGGTAATAGAATACGAACCTTTGGTGCCTGGGTAATGCTGAATTGACACTTCCCCAGATGTCATATGTTTCTGTGTGGCCCTGCCTGTTCTAATCTTCTCTTGGTTCAAGCAGATGACTTCTGATATGTAGAAACATCCAGGCCCAGAAACAGAGGGTTTTTTTGTTTGTTTTTGGTTTTGGTTTTGTTTTGTTTTGTTTTGGGGGGGGGGGTGGCCAGATGAAATCCTATGGCTACTGTTAAGCTACCTTTCTTACCGAATACACATTAATCAAAATGCTATAGCCCAGCTGATGACGTTTATGCTGTTAGGATCTGGTACACATAAATTATAAAATGGAAAGTGTTAAAGTGTACAGGAAACCATTGCTGTTTCACGCAGAGTTTGAATGGTGAGGGATTTTACAGATTTCCCAGGGCTGGATCCACCTTTTCCGTTTGAAGGATATCAAGTACTTCCAAGTATGGCTGTTTAAATAGTGAACTCTCAGTCTCTGAAAGGAACCTAGTGCTGATTTGGACCCCTCCCTGCCTCTTTAGAGATCTCAACACATGATTTAAGATATTTTTGAAAACTTCTTAGGCATTTGATGCATTTTATCAGTGGTCAGACTCTAGAAAGCTGATTTTTATTAGGAAAAATATCTCTTCTACCTTCTCTTATCCCTTGCTTTTCTGCCTTCCTGTCTGTGCTCCCTTGCCCAAAACATAGATTTTCATGTAATTCAGTTCACTAAATATCACTTCCATTTTTGCTTCTCTGCAGAGTTTATTGCTAGAGCTGCTAATAGACTTTTAGTGCAAATAGTATATTGATCACTTGAAATCTCATTTGAGCTTGACTGAATATACATAACGGGGTGTCAATCGGGGAAAAATCTCATAATAAATGGCAGGTGACTTATATTCATGAGGGAAAAAAGTCTTGGGCAGCACACAAAATACCATGTTTATTGTAGCATGACAGACTGATTTTGCTCGTCTCCATCACATTCATCTGGTGGGTGTTTAATAGCAAAGGCAAGGTTAGAATACCAAGATCCCGGAACCTTTCTTTCTTTGTTTATGTGGCAAGCATTTTTGTACGCTCTATACAGTATAAGCATCTTCTAGAACTACAGCCAGCAAGAAAGATCTTTTCTACCTGAGAAATTCAGAAATTGCAAACAAATCTGTTTAAGTTGGTGTGTATTTAAAATCAGCTACTGATTTATGCAGTCCATATTTTTTAAATTTTTACCATGTGTGTATCAGTGCATACACTCACTGTATGCAAATATCATTTTCAGTGTGTATATGGGAGAGCACAGTATATTTAGAGAAAAGTCTGCTTTACATAAATTATTTTTAAGAACAACTGAGCAGAGGAGTAGCCATGCGTTAGGAAAGCCAAATCTTTTTTTTTTTTTTTCCCATTGAATGATAAGTGAAGGAATTTCTCTTTTAAAGTTTTATATGTAATTCTTTAAAATCAATTTTCCTGATAGAGCAGTCATTATGGTGGTAGATATGTCTGGGAAAGTGATATTTTGGGTTGCTTTATACAGCTGACTTGATAGCTGACTTTATTGTGGCTGATTGTCTGGAAACATGGGGGTATCTATCATTTTAGCTGTAACCCTGCTTCATGCCAGGACAGTGTGGGGTACATCATGTTTTTCCCAGTCTTCTAGGTGGAGTGCAACTCAGCTTCCATCAGGAATTCTTCATCTTCTGTAAATGAATGAAATCAACTGGCTTTTTGCTAACAAGGTTCTAATTTGCTTTTTTTTTACAGTCAGAAAAGTTAATAATAATCGTACCCTGGACAAACGTCTCCTTCAGTCCTTGTGCAGTATCTCAAGATTTTAAAAAGTGTATTATGTCAGAGTTTTCACCTTTTTAGCCTCAGGTCATATATGATAGCCAGAGGAATCTGCTTACCGCGAAGAGTATGCAAAATAGGACAAGTGAGATTATTAAGATATAAAAGACATGACATCAAGCCCTGATGATACATACTGTTTTTCCATAGCAAGAGTTTTTGCCATTTTCATTTATTTTACTGAAATGCTTCTGATTTGTTTTTTAAGGTTTTTGATTAGCAGTAAGAGAGAATGTAAATATGCTGAGAAATGGAATTATCTGAGAACTAACCAGTTGCAAAGGTTTAACAATATATAATTACACGAGTGCTACGTATTTTAGTAATAGCTTCTACAAGTAAAATCTTATATCCACATATTTCCTTATATATGTACCAATAGTTCTGTACCAATTAGAAACTATTTGTAGTATGTGGCTTTTTGCACAAAGAGGCAATCAAATTTGATAGCTTAAGCTTGGGAAATTATGCTTTTGAGATTTAAGCAGAAGCTAGGTGATACAAGAACTTTAAACTCAGGAATTAGCTGTTTGAATATGCTTCATTAATTTTAACCTACAGAGAAATGTATGTCTGCAAATGTTAAAACGGAGTTACTGGATGTCACCAATAAATGGGAAAAATTAAATCCCAAGGAAAAGAAAATCGGAAAGAAAAAAATTTCCAGAGAAATTTGAATCTGAAACCTGCATTTATAGGCCTTGCTGCTGTCTTAAATTTTGGACAGTTTTACTAATTTATTTTGATTAACTGAAAGGAGAAAGAGTAATATGAACTAAGAAGTTGCATGAACTATTTTCTGTTGAAAAGATATTAACATCTTTTGGAAATACCATATCCAGCTTGGTAATAGAAATACTCAGTTTTAATAGATTGCTTCCTCACCAATCCTTAACATTTTACAGTGAGAATTTTTTTTTTTTTTTTTTTTTTTTTTTTTTTTTTTTTTTTTTTTTTTTCCGGAGACAGAGTCTCGTTCTGTCGCCCAGGGTGGAGTTCAACGGTGTGATCTTGGCTCACTGCAAACTCCGCCTCCTGGGTTCAAGCAATTCTCATGCCTCAGCCTCCTGAGTAGCTGGGACTACAGGCGTGTGCCACCAGGCCAGCAAATTTTTGTGTTTTTAGTAGAGATGGGGTTTTGCCATGTTGGGCAGGCTGGGCTCGAATTTCTGGCCTTGAACTTCTGGCCTCAAGCGATCCACCCGCCTTGGCTGGGATTACAGGCATGAGCCACTATGCCCAGCCCTTACAGTGAGAATATTTAAAGACAAATAAAACAAAATACATATCTTTTATATATATATATCTTATCAGTGGAATTAAAAACAACATCCATATACTCGCCACGTTCTTGGTGAGACTTCTAAATCATTTAAAAAATATTAAGCATAAATTTGGAAAATGGAGTTGAATTTATAGCAGTTTCACAGAAATGGACATTATATTAAATAATTCCTAGGGTTTGATTTTTATATATGCCAAAGCAAGACTAGGAAATGACTGGAACTCCTGTATTTTTGGGTTTTTTGCAACTGCTATCATTTTCAGAAACCAAAGAGAGCCCTCTTCCACTAGATGCGGCGTATTTAAGTTATGTTCATGTAATACAAGCACAGCAGTGGGACTACCTTTTCTTCCAACAGTGATTTAAATAAGAACTAGGCCGATATCATGGATTAAAGATAATAGGCTTTTTTAAAAATTGTGTTGTTTTTCACTTTAATGAAAAACATCTGGGTAAAGAAAAATTGCAATGAACTAATTCAGTTATTAGCAAAGTAGTAATTTGGTATATATTTCTTTTAATAGTTTAGCTTTATATTTAATACAAAGTTTATATTCAGGTTTAATTGCTTGCTAAGACAAAATCAACAAGATGATTTGCTTATGCCCTGTTTTATGTAAGTTAGTTTCACTAAGGAAAATACTATAACTCAGAAAAAACCTTTAGTGCACCTCCGTGTGCTTTTTAAGAACATATATCCCCTAAAAGAGGAGAATAACTTAGGGGTGGTGGCCAGCCAGATAACTTATTAGATTATGTTTATTGATTATATTGATATATATTACACATATGCATATATAACATACGTATCCCAAGTATATTGTAATGTTATATTTAACTGTACTTAAATGTATATGCCATTTCAAATGAGCCTAAACCATTCTTGTTTCACCAGAAACCCAATACTTAGACGTGATCTCTTGCCCTATGACATTAAAGAAAACAGGCTTATTTCCCCTGCTTAGTTTTTGTTTGACATACATGCTGTGGCAAAAGTTATTTTCTTAATGATAGGCAGATCCGCCATGATTATGTAGGAATTTAGTGGAAAAGTAATGGGTGATAGTTTTTTGTTGGTTTTGGTTTTGGGGTGTGCATGTGAGTACATTTGAAGGAGTGAAATTCTAATTTTTAAAAATCAGAAAATCCAGTGCAAACAGTTGATCCTGCTTTCCAGTTCAGTTTCTTTCTCCACCTTGCCACCTTCAGATTTTCTTTGGTCACACTGACATGTGACAACTGGACATGCAAACCCAGTGTCTGATGGACCTGATTTTGTTTCATCCAAGCACAGGGGGTGCCCATTTTATGAATTCTGTCCCCAAGGATTTGAATAGCCAGTGTTATTTTCCATTAAGGTAGCTACACTCTCTTCATAATTACCGTTTTGTTGGTATGCTCTTGTTATACCACTGCAGATGCCTATGCTTTTTCACAAGTTCTTCAAAACCATTTCTCTCTTATTAAAAACAAACGATTGCAGAATTCAAAATAAGACTGAAAAATATGAAACCTACTACAGACCAACGTTGTCAGACTCTCTCACTCTAATATAACCCCTGAAAATAATTTTTGGGAGCATGAAATTT